ATGGTGATCACGGTGATGTAAAATTGCATCAAACGGAGGCCGGGAAAGGCCTCATCGGAGGCAAAAATCGAGGAGGGGCGTGGCGGCGCCGCTGGGTTTCGGCCATATTTTTCGGCCGTTTGGTCAGGATTTTGGCTCCGATTTGGCCACAGGGGAAATCAGCGTGGAAAAACGAGTCGGGGGTATGAAATTTACCTCGATCGGCGGTCGGAAATCTCCCCGGTGCGGCGGCGGGTGGCGGCAGCCGGCTTCTCCGGCGTCTGGTTTGTCTTCTCCGGCGAGGGCAGGCGGCTAGGGTTTTTGTGGTCAGGTGTGAGGGTTCTATTTATACCCTTTTGCCTTTTAATCTCAGCCGTCCATTTTGATTTAATCTGGACCGTCCGTTTTTGATTGAATCTGGGCCGTCCATGCGATTGCATCTGGGTCGTCCGTGCGCACGCTTAATCTAGGTCGTCCGATTGTGCGTACACGGATCGCCAACGTGGCCCGTCCCCGGTCGACGTGGTCTTGCCACGTGGCAGGTCCTGGTTGGCCAGGACTGCTGACTGGGTCTGCTGACGTGGCTGCTGACGTGGCGCTCTCTTTTTTTTTCTTTTGTTTTTTTTTAAACTTAATAAAAATAATTAATAATAAAATAACAAAATTTTCCAATTTTCCGGACATTACAAGTGAAGTTTAGGACATGTCTAGTTTGGATGATAACAAAATGTTCTGGTAAGCTTGAACAGTATCAAGAGATTTATTTATGCTTCAAAACATGTCAAAATGCAACACAAGTACATCCATCCTACTCATCACATGTCCATCCTAGTTGCTAATTAGATTACAGAGGCCATCATCATGAAAAAATGAGAACTTAATTGATCATTGTGTGACCCTACTCTTGGCTAAGCATACATGGGTAGTTGAGAGTAGACTTTGCCTTAGCTGTTCGGTGTTAATGGTACAAAGAGTAGTCCTCTTGCATATATTTTTCTATGCCAAAATCTATATGGAAAAAGAAAATTATGTATCAAATGAATTTTGCTTTAGTAATAATTTAACATCTACATTGGTGATGCATAAAGCATGTGTATATGTACATATGTGTGTCAATGATTCAGACAACTATGAGCAAATTACTCTGGTGAGTGGTGTGTCTTCTTTACTCATACAAAATCAATAAAAACTCTGTATTGTACATCATTTCTCTTCTTATTACATAATCATTATACCTTTCTGCAACTTTCTGTAATAACTGCCACAAAAATGCAAGCATGTGACAATCAACATAAATAAGTGCATCGCTTTGTATTCCCTTGTTGAAAAACTGTATAGTTTAAGTTAATTTTTTGAGCTATAAATTATTTCTTTTGCTTTAATAGTGTTATTATGTGTTCCTTGACTAAACCATGAGCAAAAGTCTTGCTAGTTGTTAAATGGTGAAGCAAAAAAAGATTGACATGATACTATACTTTAGGCATTTTATAGCCGTAATATATTGATTTCAATTTAGAAACAAGTTTACTCCAGTATCTTTTGCAAGGTTTTGCATGGGATTGGGGTTGCTTGTGAGTGAAAAATATTTCTAATTTCAAATTTTTCTTTCTGCTTACTGTAGGTTTGATCTCTCACAGTAAATCACACAAACTGAATCTTGTATTATCTTATGATATTATTATTTTATTCTTGATTGTCTTGTTATTTTATTGTTGCAGAACATATCAATTAGTGTTAGATTTAATGTTGTTCTACCGCTATACCTTTATTCCATTAACTCCATATTATATGGTTCTTTAAATTCTAGTTTCTCCAAGTTTGATATGACAAGACATTGGTTCCATACTCTCGGTTGTTTTGTTTTACATATATAAGATGTTGAAAACAATGGTGTTGTTCTATTGTGTCAGGAGTTATGAATTGATGGAACTAATACTTAAAGTTTACATCTATCCTGATGGGGCGAGGCCTATTTTTCATGTGCCTCACCTGATGGGTATTTATGCTTCTGAAGGGTGGTTTATGAAGTTAATGGAGGGAAACAAAAAATTTGTCACAAGGATTCCAGAAAAGGCACACTTATTTTATATGCCATACAGTGCACGGCAGCTGCAACAGGCACTTTATGTGCCTAACTCGCATGATTTGAGACCATTGTCAATCTTCCTGAGGGACCATGTGAATATGATTGCTGCCAAATACCCATTTTGGAATCGCACACATGGATCAGATCATTTTCTTGTTGCTTGCCATGATTGGGTATGTTAACTTTGTCTTCTGTCAATGAATAATAGATATCTAAGTTGATATGTATGTTTAAGATCCATGATTAACCTTTCTTTTCATAAATTTTTATTTGATTAACTTCAGTGTGCTATTTTCTCCTTTCCAGTTAACGTGTTCTCATATATCTACATTTGTACAGGGTCCTTACACTGTGACTGAGCACCCAGAACTACGTAGGAATGCCATAAAAGCTTTATGCAATGCAGACCTATCTGATGGGATTTTTGTTCCTGGAAAAGATGTTTCTCTTCCTGAAACTACCATAAGGAATCCAAGCAGACCTCTCCAATATATTGGTCATGGAAATAAAGTATCTCAACGTCCTATCCTGGCATTTTTTGCTGGGAACATGCATGGTAGGGTTCGGCCCAGGCTCCTCAAGTATTGGAGGGACAAAGATGAAGACATGAAAATTTATGGCCTTCTACCACTTCGAGTGTCGAGACAAATGTCTTATATTCAACACATGAAATCAAGCAAATATTGTATATGTCCCATGGGGTATGAAGTGAATAGCCCTAGGATAGTCGAAGCTATATATTATGAGTGCGTTCCAGTGATCATTGCTGATAATTTCGTCTTGCCTTTTAGTGATGTACTAGACTGGAGTACGTTCTCTGTGGTTGTGACCGAAAAGGATATTCCAAGACTGAAGGAGATTTTGTTGGCCATACCACTGAGAAAATATCTCAGGATGCAAGTCAATGTGAAGATGGTCCAAAGACATTTTCTTTGGAACCTAAGACCAATGAGATATGACTTGTTTCACATGATACTGCATTCAATTTGGTTTAGCAGACTCAATCAAGTTCAAATCCTCCATACGTGAAACTATTTACATTGAAAAAGTACTGAAAAGGGCCAGAAGACGAGCTGAAATTGTTTGACGAATCACAGGAGTAAAGCAGTTGCAGGGATTGGGAGGCGCAAATGATGATATAAGGAAGAAGGCAGCAGTATGTCTTATGTTTGAGCTAGTGTCATTTGAGAAATCAAGCTTCCTTTCAAAAGAAGTGCTCTAACACTTACCTACTTAAAAAAAAGTGCTCAAACACTTATATTGTGTTTTCTTTAAATGCTTATTGATGCAAATGAAATGATATTACTCATCAAAAAAGAAAACATAAAAAGATATTACTTCTTTATTATAATTTTTACTAATTTATTTTCTTTAATACTCGTTAGTAAGAATAAGAACTCAGAAATAAAAACTCATGTAAAAGTAGTGAAATGAGAGTGAATAGAAGTCTATATGCAATTATGGGTAATGCTTGAAATGCTCATAGATTGTTAGGTATGCAAGTTACTTTATTGTAATAACACAAGTAATATGCTTGCTAAATTGAGCTCTTTCTGACATTCAAAAATGATAAGTGCAATGATGACCACTATCCCTATTGGTTCAAGTGACTACAATAAACACGAGAGTGATGAATTGAAGTTTTCAAATTTTAATTTCTAACAAGTTAAAATATATAATAAACACAATTACCTAAATTTTTGATAAATAATAAATGGAACTTTATTTACTATAATTCACCAACAAGGAAATAAAACTTTATATACCAAGAAACTTAAAGGGAGTAAAAAAGAGAGAGTGGCAAATATAATTTTTATAGAGATTCGGGTAACGATTTAACTCCTACATCCTCTCTCCAAGTCACCTCATGAGTAGTTCATTAAGCCTCAACAAGCTCCTTACAGGTGTCAGCTTATAGGCTTCTCTTTTATAAGAGTTCCTTCATCTTTCACAAGAGTTTTTCTCTCTTATGCAAGAGTTTCTTCTCTTAAATAAGAGCTTTCTCTTTCATAGGAGTTTTTCTTTTACAAGAGTTACTTTTTCACAAAGGCAAGACTCCCTCTTCATGATTCCTTAATCATTTCTACAATACGAAAAAAAATTGGATGAAAAAATTATAATATATTCTCTCTCTTGTAGAGTAGATAAACAAGATGAATATAAACTTTTCTCTCTCTTGAAGAGTAGACGAGTAAGATGATGTGCAAGCTTCTCTCTTGAAGAGTAGAGGAAAAAATAAAGTACAAGGAGAATTAAGAACTAGGGCTCAAGAGAGGTGAAAGTTTTTTTACTCAAGATTCAACGTTTCCTTCTCAAAGATATAATGAATGTAGTAGGTGTGTGTAGCATTTATAATATGACCAGAAAAATAGTCATTACTAACATAAAAGTAAAAAGTAATGTTTACTTTTTTAAAATCTCAAAAATATGTCTTACAAAAAATTATCATTCTTACAATTGTAACTAAATTTTTGTAATATTTAAAATCACATTTATTTTTTATTATTTTAAATCAAACATTCTGTATAATTATGTTTCTTATCGTATTTTCTATGATAAAGATATTATCATTCACATTATTTACTTTTAAAAATAATTTTACTCTTTAAAATCTTTTATTTTACATTATATTCACAAATTTTATTTTAAAGATATTTCTCATGTGAAACTCATATTTAAAAAACTGATTTTGAAATGAGGAAAATATTTTTAACCTTTATTTGTTTACCCTCAATTTTTGACCTACCTTTACAAATTTGATCAATTTCTTCAACATCTTTTGATCTTCTTGATTACTTCTTTTCTAGACTCATCTTGAAAATCTCATGTTCCTTTCTCTTTTTTCAAAAGTTTGCTAAATCAAATACTTAAAAAAATTCTGAAAATTATTAGTATAAGTTTAGGGTTGTCATTCATCAAAACTGGACATTTATTTTTGTCAACAATTATCGTCTAATTAAGTAACTCTATATCTTATGATTATTATTGTTATTTTTATTATTACAACTATTCCGTCACATCTCCGCTGTGCTTTTTTTGCTGTAAGGAGCTAACAACGAATTTTGAAGCTTTTCATATAATCTTCCAAACCAGAGATAGATTAGAGGTTCACACATTCAATTTACATGAGTAATTCATTGGTATGTATAAAAGGCAAAAGAAAAGATTCCAAATTTTAATATATTTCTTTCTTTTTGAAAAGATAAGCGTTGTCTCAACTTATTTAAGGCTTGTCTTTATAAATTGGAGATATTAATCCTTCTGCATTAGTATTTTTGCTGCTGCAAACTATTGTGTTTAGAATATCTTAAATTTTAAGACTGAGTTTGATGTTGATATCACGCCAATTTTCAATAATTCTTCTGTTGTAGTTATTTTTTTAGTAGATATCATGAAAATTTTCAATTATTATTTTTTACTGCAAACCATTTTTCAGTTCCAAACATAATGATATTCAATATATATATATATATATATAAGTTGTCATTCTGGTGCTCACTTGTCATTTCCATATTATATGGTAACCTAAGACAAATCATAATAAACTCTAGTTTTTATGGCAAAATCATCACTTCAAAAAGCAAGATGGAGAAGATTAGTAACATTTCACAAAATAATAATAATAATAAATTGAATTAAAAGGGAAATACTTGATAAATTTATTAGGTTCTGCCATTTGTCATGTAGAAGTTATATTTTAATAATTAAGTAAAATCATACAATAATAAAAATACATCCTCCATATCAAACCATTAGGTTATATACGCTTTAGTTATAAGCCGGTGTATCTTACATTTAAGTATCAATGTTTTCTACAGTTTAATTGTAATACCCCAAAATAAATGGTATGTAATTTAAAATTTATAATATATTTTTTATTTATTTATATTCATTAGAGTAAAAATGAAGTAAATTGATTAAGAATTAGATGAAAATAATTTTGAGGAAAATGGATGAAAATTTGGGTTTTGGGAGTATTTTTGAAAGAAAAATCGAAAAATATGGGCTAAAATACATTTAGAAAAGTTTTGCCACGTCAGACGCTGGGTCAGCAGACCCGGTGAATCAGGACGCGCCGCGTGGCAGCGGACACTGATGCGGTGCCACGCATGAGGCCACGCATGCGATCCACGTGCCCATGATCGAACAGCCCAGATCCGTTCCTGCGCACACGGATAGCCCAGATGCATTCCCTCCTCAAACGCGAAGGACACTGTCAGACCCCCTCGCCGAAGAAGAAGACTCGGCTGCCGGAAGGACACCGCCGCCACCTGCCGCCACACCAGAGCTTTTTCTGATCGCCAAAAAGGTAAAAAAAATCTCTTTTGCTCGAAATTCAATTTTAAGCACAACCATGGCCAAATGGAGCAAAAAGACAAGCCAATTGGCTGAAAAACATCGGCGAAGTCCGGCGGCACTATCGCAGAGAATTTCACAAAACTTCTCTGATGAGACCCTTTTCGATTCCCGTTTTATGTAATTTTTCTACCGTTGTGATCACCATGTCTTTCTCAACAGGTTGATAGGAGCAAAACACCCAACCACAACATGAGCTGAAGGAGCCGCCGCATTGGAGAGCCCCACCGTCGGTGAGTTTCAGTTTTTTGTATTTTTTTTCGGTCAACCAAGGTCCTTTAACGTGTTTTCTTACAGGGATCGATGCAGAATCGGCCAAATTCGACCGAAAATGGCTGAAAACAGTCAACCCGAAGCGGACCGCCGTCGTTGGAGCATGACGGAGCCACATTGCTGGAATTCTGAAATTGGCCAAGTGGGCCCCAGGACTGATTTTGGGTTTGTTTGGGACATTTATAGGTACTATTAGCGTATTTTAATTCCAAAAAAAAATTCAGTGAACCCGGGAATCACCCGTAAGCGTAGTCGAACAGCTTAGCTTTTTAGGTATCAAATCGAGTAAGGATCCCTCACCTTATTCCCTATCATATAATTGAAGTTTAAATAAATAATAATAAAGTATTTGTGCGAATTTAATAAATGTGTATAATTAATTACGCATTGCTAATGGAGCCAGAACCGAAAATTGTTCTCTGTTGATTTCTGTTAATTTATTTTATAGTTTAAAAGTATGATAGTATCTTATTTATCAATTTTATGGTTTGAATGCATGTATTGCTGCCTTATGTGACCACTGTTTAGTTGAAAAATTAACATAGATTGTATTCCCTGATGCATGTTTGTTTGCTTATGTGATTATGGTTGATTTAGAAAATGGGACTAACAGAAAACGGAAAACGGGAAAGTTGTGTGGGAAAATGAATAGATGAAGACGACAGCCTTACTGAATATCCTGGGAGATGGTGGACAGACCGGGTATATAAGAAACCCTACCGTGAACATTGTCTCATACCGTATGGGGTATGGAGACAAGATAATTTAGTACTCATACCAAACGGGGTATGGGAACGACCCACTTTACCCTCATACCGGACGGGGTATTGAAATTTAATAATTTGGCACTCATACCAGACGGAGTATGAAGACGACCCGTAATTGAGATTGTTAAAGAAAATGGTTCGCGTGTAGCGGGAACATCCCTATGAACCCTCATGGATACTAGTAGGCTGGTGGAAAAAGTAATAATTATTGTTTAGTTTATTGACGATGTATATAGACTTATGATATATGTTATATTGCTGATTTTACATGAAATTACGATCTGTACGATATTATTGTCTACATAGGTTGTTTTTACGAATTTCACTACGGTAAGTGAACGGTAAATGATTTTATTTTTACTAAATGTATTGGTTTAAATTAAGTGCTCCATTAGTGTTTTGATTTTATACCAACATTTACTTCTGTATCGGTGATATAGTTTGATATCCTTATTGGGCTAGTGTACCTCATCCCTTATTTAACAATTTCAGATCAAGAGAACCAGATTCTAGAGCTCGATCTGCAGGAGGATTGCGAGTAGATGCTAGATTTTCCTAATTTTTCGCTTATTTCCCTATTTCTTGTATTGTTTTCTGTTAACTCAATTTCGCAGCTCCGTTTGGTTCCTTAAGTTATCGTGTAGGGAATGTAAACTTTGAACATTTATTTCGTCGTACTTAAGTTATAATTTATTTTCTTTGGATATTTTTGGGGTCGTTACAGTTGGTATCAGAGCTGCGTTCCTCGGACCTATTCCTTACATAAAATTCCTAGGGAACACTAAAACAATGGATTATCACTCAACCATTACTTGTGAAATGCAGGTACAGATAGATAAGTCCAAGAGGAAGACCCCCACTAAACTGAGGAGCTTGGGATGGCTCGCTTAGAAAAGATGTTGACTGG